TGTGCCCGCAAACGACTTCTAATGATGCGTACCGATAAAGTGCGAAATGCTAATGAGTTTGACGGCAGCAAAAAGAGCGCGACGGCGATGTGTTGGTGCGAGTGTGTGTGACTGGCGGCGCGAATTCGCTGCTCGCTAATGACTTTTGTACGCTTTGATATTTTTTGTTGACATTTGTATAGACAAAGAGACAGAGTTGAATTGTTTTGCGCCCCTAGTGCCAATTCGTTGGCAAATCATTTGCAGAAGGAATTATTTACGGCTAATCAGCTATATTTGCTAGCTGATTTAACAAGCGAATAATGCGTTAGCATTTCTATGTCAAAGTATCCGCGCCACACACTTGTCGCCCACAATGCATTTAACTAGCAGCAAAAAAAATATCATTCATAAGCTTAAACGCTGGCGTTGTCATAAATTATAAAATATTACTATACACATTTCATTTGATTGCTTTGCATTATGAAAAAAAAAGCTTAAAAAAAAAGAAAAATCACACCGCGACAGAATTTCAAGTTTAATAGCCGAAGCGTTCGTTATTGCTACGCGCGCACTATTGGCACAGGTTTGTTTTCTTTATCTTCCACTCTACATATAATATTTGCATTTTGTTTGCTTCGCCTTGCCTTGCGGTGCACAACGAAATGCTTTGAAGACGGCGCCGCTTTGGACAATAAATCATTTGCAGTTTACGCAGAAAAAAAGAAATAAAAGAAACTGCAACCAATTGGCGGCGCAAGGGGCGCTCAACTGCTTCACACTCTTTTTGCTAGTCACTCTATCTTTTGACTACACACACTCGCCGTCGAATCGCACACGAGGCGCACACCAGTCCTCTTCGTTGGCCAATCAAACGCCCGCTGCCGCTTCGTGCCGAATCGTTTGCGTCACACGAGCGCCTACTTTGGTGGCAACTAAACGCTAGAGCGGTTGAGTTGGCGAAGGTAAATAACATCGTTGTCGTCATCGTGTTGCCGTCGACTCACGAGACTTTTCTGCAGTCCCACGGAGCAGCTCACTCACGCTCTCAGCGAGCTATGTACATATATTGTACATATTAGATCTCGCGCTCATTCTCCCAGCCAATTTGTATGGCTGCTTGTTCCACAACCTCCTTCGCGGCCACTCGCGTTCAACACTCTCTATTTAGTCAATCTCTTGTGGATTCTGTTGACATTTGCTTCGCAGCCAACTGGTTAGGCCTTCAGTGTTGCCATCGCTTGCGCATTTTCGTTGCTGGCGAATTTATTTCACCTCTCTGGTTTTTGTTTGCAAACCACTGCCGAATACGTAAATTTTCATTTCGTCTGTCGATTCGGCTCATGCGTCTCTTCGTCGTAACACCGCTGCGCGCCGTCTGTTCGTAGCACATGTCTCACGGTTGGTCAGTTGCTGCAGTTGTTTTTTGTTGCCTTGTTGTGGACTTTGACTCTATCATACTTGGTGTATGTATGCAGCAACAACAATAAACGCGATTTGCAAGTGTATCACCGCCACATTAGTTGTGTTTTTAGTTGTTGGCACGCTACATATTTGACTGTTTGTTGTTTTTATTTGTTCGTTGTTTATTTTCGCTCGATTCTATTGCCGTTATAGTTGCCGTTGCTGCCGTTATAGCACTCGCCGATTTGACTCGACACTGCCTACCGCTGCATGGTATATTCATACTTGGATATTTTTTTTGTGTATGTATATTTTTCTAGTTCATATTTTTAGTGTTGTTGCTGGTGGAATTTTTTTCATAAACAAACAACTTCAAGATTTTATTTTTGTACCCTAGCACAAGGCATTTATTGATTTTATTGTTTAGATCTTGAATCATAGTTCGATTTGTGATACTTATGCTTGATACAGACCAGAGGATCTAAAGATGGCTCTGGACAAAAAACTCAACTGCAACCTTCTGGTCAAACCTTTTCGCAAAATTTTTTGTTCTAACGATGTCAAATATGACTAACTGCAGAAAAAGCTGGATAAAGGAAGAGTTCTGAGGTTAAAAGGAATGATAAAAAAAGCTTCGCGGAAAGTCTAAATGACTTCTAGAACCTAGACAAGAGGAAATTCCTCTTACGGGATACCTAAGCAGATATACAAAGCTAAACCCCAACCATATTGGTTGCTTGAAACTTTTTAATCCGTCGGACAATAGTTTTTTTGGTATGGTGGAGGAGTCCTCATATCACACTCTGTGGAACTTAAAGTTGTAGGGCTAATTGGAACTCCATGGACAACGATAGATCGTGTAGATCCTGTGATGTACTGGATCTCCCACTGGCCGACTGTTATCATATTCCATGTTGAGTTTCTTCATGAGCTTGAAATTACTCAAGTTTTTTATGACACAATCCGAACTGACAGTGTTGGAGAGACAGTAAACTCACCTATATCGCTTTAAGATGCAGACTTAGAACTCACAGAGTGGTCTACTTATGGATAATTCAGAAGTTAAATTTGCTGGTTAGCATCATTAACCAATAAGAAGACTAATTTAGAGCCAACTTGAACCATCCGTGCCGCTTTCTCGAACTTTGGAAAAACGAAAGCAATGGTATACAAGTTCAATAGAGCTCTTAGGTCAGTTCTGCTTTCACCCTACTGTCACTGATTAGACGCTCCAACTGTAGTGAAGTTCTTTTCCAGTCGGTCGTTCAAACTGAGAAAATATGTAACTTCCATTTCATATATTTTAACAAGTCCCTAAAAGTTTCTGTTGCAGTTTACAGGCAACTTCAGCAGAGAAGAAAACCCCGGTCGCCTCATTCTGACCTCTGCAGTTTTGAAAGTCTGTTTTCTATCAAAATACTGCTGACATATTTCGCGGGACTATTCTGTAAAAAGACTGAGAACTGTCCAATCCATTACGAAGGCTGTTTGTACAAAATCAGGGATAATTATACGAAGTTGTTATCGTTCTTACAGCATCTTTAATGGGTTTTGTATGTTGGGTTACAAAGCAATGTCTTAGCTGAGCTCCAGATATATTCTGACAACTTGTATCATATGTATTACAAATGTCGAAAGCTGAGTCTATGGCATCTATGGCATAGGCATCTCTACCGACCTAAATATCGTAGAACATGGTAATCGTTGAAACTTCAGCTGGGGTAGAGACAGTCTAGACTTTGAATAACCGAAATATCTTTGTTTTGCTTCCAGTTCGTTAATTTTTCATTGTAGATAAAAATCATGATTGGACCAAAGGGATCTGTGTTGCTTCGTAGGAGGTCTCGGAGTAGTAAACTGCCATGTGCCATTCCCCAAGTATATAGGAGTCTCAAAAGGGCCATTCTCTTGAAAGGAGATCCTGCATGATGTAATGCGTAATCTTGGAGGATTCTTGTGATGAACTGACTAACTTTGTTGACTGACAAGTTAGGATAGCTTTGCTGGATTATCTTCCAAGGCATGGTTGTCTTCTAAAATTGTTTCTCCAAATTGTAAACGTCCATCTACACTGGTTCCTGGAACTTAGCGGTGTACAACATAGCGACCCTGAGCAGCTGCTAACAGCGGGGGGATTCTCTGGACATTTGGAAAAATCTCTTTCAACGCTCATGTCAGCTCTTGACAAGAGCAGTCAGTCTAATCAAATCAAGCCTGACCTTTTATACATTTTCATGCTGCGCCTTATTTATTTAACTAAACAACCGTTAGCCTTCAAAAACAAGTTCAACGAATTCGCAATCGCTTTTTAGTGAACAAAATTGAACTAACCTTCCGCTGCGCCTACGCTGCGTAAACAAGCCATATAAAACTTTATGCCAGCATAGAAAAAATTATTATTATTGCTAATCTCTTTTTTTTCGTACCACTTTTTGCTAATTCGCAAAATAAACAAAACCGACAAAGTACAAAAATAGCAAAAAGAATAGTTTCAGCGAAAAAACAACGCGCTGTTTTTGAAGGTCTCCCACTCCCTGCCTCTGTTAGTCGCAATTGATAGCGTTTGCTTTAGTTTTTTTTCGCGCTCCCATTTCGGCCTTCACACCAGTCAAAGAAGGAAGTTTGTCGTCGCACAAGCACACATTTGCACGTATGTACATACGTTTTTCGTTATCAATCGCGCATTTGCACTCGTGCGCCACATTTTTCCTCGTTAGTTCGAAAGTTGCTGTTTTGTTAGTGTTTTTTAATTTTTTTTTTTTTTTGTGGATGAGAGCTGTGCTGGGAGAAAGCGAGGTCGGTCGGTCATTGAACGCGAATAACTATTCAAAAAAGAGCACAATTATGCCGAAATATTTTTATACTTTTATGGTTTTGCCTACCAATGACCCGTTGAAGGTTTTTCCGTGGTCTTGAAGGGCTTATGTATATGTAGTTTTCTTTTTTACTACAACAAAACTCCCCCTTATCAGTGCCAATAAGCAAACTACAATAATTAATCGTAAAAATAACATGCGTTAGACAGCGAGGAGCATGATTGGGATTTAGTAGCACTTCAGGCCTCTTATCAACTGGTATGTATGTTTGGTGTGGTGGGCACATGACAGTTGAGAATTTACTACGTTGTACTTATTAGTCTTAATTCCACAGGTACATATATACATATGTATGTTAGCGGTTGTATGACTCACAGATAAATGACTGCTTCAAGATTGGCTGATCAGTGGGAATACATAGGCGTCTAGTCATAGGATAGGTGTCTCATACCAAGGAACTTTGTGCCGATCTGTCGCCTCATAACCTTTGTCTAAACTGGAGCCATGGAGGTTTTGATGTGACTCAGTGGAACCAGCAACGCAACACGACACTTCCGAACTGCGTTGAACTGTACTATCTAGGAACCTTACGTTTTCAATGCCGGCTAGTAACGTTCCCTGACAGAACTACTACTACTACTATTCCGTGTTTCCAGAAGCGTTTCCGCCTTCTCTATGCAAAAAATATGCCTGAAAGACACTGCAGTTATCAGGCAGGCAATATGATTGCCATATATGCAGGTCCTTAGAGTAAAGACCTGAGCCGACTCCTTTTGTATGGTAATCTTAAGACTAAAATCCCAGGTTGACGTGAGGTAATCAATTTGAACATCTAAGTCGCCTTGATTCCGTTACGTCGTCCGCTATTAATTACATTCAAAACCGCTGCGTGCCCGTAATTAGTCTGCTTCTACAATTTTGATTCCCCTAGTTTAAGGGCCCCTCTTGTGACTGTACCTGTTACGAAGACTTGTGGTGGATTCAAGTAAAATATCATGTTCAGTCATTCTTGTGATGTGCTGCTCACGGCGTCTGATATACCGAGGCTTGCGAGTCGCTGCACTAATCCAATTATTTTCTAGTGCTTTCCATCAGATCATCTATCGTAAGACTGTGAGCCCTTCTTTGCTCTTTCCTCTACGTTTCGCCTTCAGGTAATTTTAAAGTCAAAGATAATACCTTAGTATTTTGCCTCGCAGGAAATATTCAGGCCAGTCCTTTCAAGCTTTGGAATTCAGCAATTTTTGTTTTCCTCGTGACAAGACAAGTTCGGTTTTGAAAGGGTCAGTAATTTGCCAGCTACCGCAATCTACTTAACGTTAACTTCAAAATTAGAATCGAGATTCGCAAATGAAAATCTCGGTTCGATAAAAGTCTGATCACCACATATTTACTTGCTTGCAGTGGCTAGTAGAGCGTCTTTCAAACATAGCAACACGGTCTGTGGGGTCTGAAGATCTAATTTTATTTGGATACCTCTCTTTAAACTAGAATTGCCAGCAGATATTCTGTGGAAAGCTGTTCGAACTGCAACGTTTGGTTGTGCTACTTAATATGGTGGAGACGGTCAGTTTTTCTACCTGTGTAGTCCATCTTTCGCGGCGTTCTTATTCCTGTTACTATTGTACATTGGGCTGCTTTCACCAACGGCGAAAGGCTGAATATCGTTTATAAAAATTTTACCGATACTGTAAAAAAATTAACTAAAGGCGATGAAGTCAAGATCCGTTCCATGGAAGCTTTCTACATGTGGCTTAACTTAAGATAATAGTTTTCGACAGGCTATTGGGCACACAAACCTTTGCCGAACTCTGGTCCTTTGTGACTTTTCGGATGCCATAGCTTTCTTTTCCAGTAACTATTCTCCTTTCGAAATGCACCTTTAGCTATAAAGAGCTGGATCTACCACGTGTTGCAGAAATGTGTAATAAGAGACGTATAATGGGAGCTCTATAAGAAAAATTTAAGTGGTAAACACTGGATTCCACGAATGCTGCAAATATGTGTGGGCGTCTAATAGAAATCTTACATTAGGACCCCGAGCATTGTCCTTAAGTCGAAAAGGCTCGATATCGCTTAAGTGTACACGGCCTTAGGACCCCGAGTAGAGACCTTACGCAAGCTTTCTATTAAACGCCAGACATTTCTGCTGCACATGGAAGATCATCGACCTTACTTCGGGTTTCTAGCCTCCAAAGCACCATGGTAAAATCAGTTTAAAAATAGCCATTCTTTTATGAATTTATTTCAATCTCGTACGGCACAGCACTGCTTAAAAATGAACACAACTTGCCGAAATTCCACGAACAAACTGAAAAACACTTCTATTTTCAACAAAACACTATCAAAATTTAACTAAAAGCCACTCAACTATCCCATTTAAGCCAATTTAATCCACCCAAAAGTATCAAAGAATGTTCTCGAAATGACGTAGAATGCACACTTGAATTTGCTGGCTTCCACATCCCACCAGCTGCTTATTCTTCTTCGCCAACTACTTCCACACCGTAGAGGCGGAATGTGAGTGGAAAACTGTCATAAATACATAGTCGGCTGCAAACACAAGAAAGTGCAACAACAACATCTAACTCAAACTGAGCAGGGAAAATTGTATTTAGCTGTAGCCGCATACCACAAGATGATGCACGAAGGCACAGTGCAACACAACGACGATGGTTGACGGCCTATCAGGCAAAGAAACGTGAAAACGAGTGGAAAATTTTTTGCACAACATTTGCAAAAAGTCGATGAAGGTGTCATGCCGCTAGTGGATAGTCGGTCTCGCATGTGGAATGAGTAGAGTCAGCGAGCGATGAGAGTATGAGAGTTTACATGGCGAGAGCGTGAGAGTCAGCTGATTGCTCGGCTGCACTACCGGCTCACCAGCACTTGCTGTTCGCAGAAGTGCAAGAACTTTCTGTTTACTCCTTATGTAGTTGGATACCTTTCCGATACCCAAATACCCGATCGCACGTACTCAGCGCGAAAGATAAGCAGCAGAAAGGAAGGCAGACGGCAAGCAATCGGTGACGACAATTGAAATTGGGGTGGGCCTGCTGTTTGTTCGTTGCTTTGCCGCGCGCGCTGTCTTCTGAGGCGAGCGCAAGTGTTTGCTCTTCTCGCTGCGTTTTTTCTCGAATGTGGCCCGGCCGCTCCAACACACTCTCTCTGGCGCTCGGTATCTCACTTTCCTTATAGTTCCACAGTCATTTCGTTAGCTACCTCAGTATTGCTCTACCTGTCGAACTAAACGTATCACACGCGGAACGCTAAGCGAAACGTACGTAAGCAAGAAAACAAGTAGTAGTTAACAGTTCTGTAAGGCATACACATACACACAAACGCCCACCAGAGCCGGCGAAGATGGACAGCCGAACGGTAGCGGCGGCAACTTACCGCGCGCGTAGTAAATAACTTAGGATACAATTCGCACAGCAACGCGATTCTCTATCTTCGTCGTCGGTGTGATTTCAGTAGTCGTCGTCACCGTCGCGCTTTTCCACAATCTATGCAAAGCGTGAACGTTTTATGGGCTCTTCGTCGCCACTGTGCGCGCGCGGGTGCACAATTGCGGCCGCTGGCACCTATCGTAGCCGCCGTTCCGCACCGCTTCAACGCGCTAACCGGTGCTGCTCTGGCGCAAAAGAAAATAAATACAATGAAAAAAATAATCACACGAATGACGTGTTGGAAACCAAAAAGGGCAACAACAATTTATTGTAAAATAGCCGGTTGTCGGTCGTTCCTATGCTAGCGCGTTGGCTGGCATGGTTGGGCGGCTATGTGGTGTGCGGTGGGCGGCAACGCGGCGCGTATCTCGTCGCTGCTGGTTTATTATTATTATTTTTTTTTGTGCACGCAGCTCGCGTTTCGTTTTCGCTCGAAACGTGCGCATGAAATGTAAATAAGAATCATATCGAGCTTTGTTGATTTTTTGTCGCCTCTTTTTCTTGGTTGGACTGTCGTCCGGTGGTATTGGACTGTGAAACGCGCGCGCCCTTAATTTTACAATTTTTCTAAGCGTTTCTGTGTTTTTTTTTTATTGTGGCGACGCGAGAATTTGTCAAACTGCAGATAACATTTTAATATAGAGCCCTGCATATCTGTTCGAATTGGGAGAGTATGCAGTTTGTGGATATGTATTTAGAAAGCATGTAGAGTAGAAAAAGTGAAGAAAAGTATTGAAAAATACGTGAAAGATGTACAACAATTTTGCAAATACAAGAAAACTTAAATAATATGGAGAAATTAACTAATTTAAAAAAAAAAATCAAAAAGTTGAAAAATATTTATATAGATATAAAACTACAAATTAAAGAAAAAAATTAATTTATCAGCAACAAATTTTAAAAATTTCCAATTTTAAAATAAAAATTAAAAAAAAAAATAATTGTACAATTTTTTCTTCTAAAAAACATGTCTAAAAGTTTGCGAAAAATGTCCTATATTTTCGGAATGTAGTGCCAAAAATTAGTAAAAAAAAATCCAATTAAAAAAAAATTATAAAAATTTGTTTTGTCTACGCTAAGTAGACAAGAAAAGAAAACAAAATAAATAAAGGTGTTCTACATAAATAATCAGTGCAATAATGCGAAATAGATGCTGAATAAATAAAAATCACAGTGAAAGAGCACAAAAAATTAAAACCGGGGAAAATTTTCCCCCAACACTTGTTGCCTTGTTGTTGTTGCCTTCGTTTACTCGACTAATTCGCTGCCAAATGTGTGAATTAGCAAATATTTTGCATTTTTATTAGATTTTTTTTTTGGTGTTTGCTTGCTGTGATAAATTGGAACGAAGGTCGCGGCTATTAGATTAAAAAAAATATATAAAATTGTTTACAAAATTGAAAGCAAAGAGGCGCCTTGCGCTGATGTCGAACAAAAATAGATTAAAGGAAATAAAATAACTATAATTAAGGAAATAATTGAGC